TGTACGCACGGTCGGGGCGGAGGTACTTTTTCACTCGCTCTGCCACTGAAGGGTGATCATTATGTTCGTCGGTTGGCAGTCAACTCGGTATTGCACATTCTGGTGGGTGGGTAGCCGAATTAAATGCGGAACCAGACTCGATGGCAGTCATCGGTGACCAGGCTTGAGGCCGACTTGATGAGTCCCACGTTTAATTGCGGGCGGCTAAAGCCAAACATCTTTAACCGGTAATTCAGCGGTGCAACTTCAGTGCTCTGACCGTCTGAGTCACCTGGCTGCTTCTGACATTCTTCTGTAAAATTGATATTCGAAGTTATGTTCCATAGTCAAGGATCTGAATCACGTGGTGGTGGTGTTGTTGTTGTTGGGGTAATGTTATGTTTTCGCGTGATTTGTGACGGAAACGCTGCGATTGGAAAATCGCCAAATCGACGTGGGATGTGTTTCCCGCCACGGTGTGAAATCTGTACCTAAATTTGTACCTGGCACAAACTTCCCATGATTCATAATAGATTTGTTTTTTTATTGGGTCAGATCGCGTGAGTAGAATATGTGTCGTGAACCCTCCTCCGCCCAAACACAGCCGTGGAAATAAAGTTGTTAAGCGATGGACAAACATGCACAGTGGATTACCGCTTCAGCAGCATCACCATCAGCGGTGGTGTTGGCGAGCAATTCACACAAATAAGAATAGGTTTTACCCTTTCTGGCAATAAAACAGTTGTGTTAATATGTTAAAACACCAAACTGCAACGTTTTGCAAGGAATCATGTCTGCATTAACCACATATACTTGTGGTGAACATGCAAACACAACATGCTCTGGTTGTATATGCATTGTCTTTGAAACTGATTGATCCACACCAGAGACAGCTTTCTTTAGAGCCTCGTCTCAAACAGTGTTAGACCAGAGGACGCCAAAAGGCGAACAGCACGAAGATAATGCCACTCTCAGGGCATCGAGAGCTCGGGGTGAGCAGCTACATTATGTTTCAAAGACAATGCATATACAACCAGAGCATGTTGTGTTTGCCTGTTCACCACAGGTATGTGTGGTTAATGCAGACATGATTCCTTGCAAAAGGTTGCAGTTTGGTGTTTTAACATCGTAACACTTATACGACTGAAAGAAATGTTAAAACCTCTTCTTATATTTTGATCCTGGCAAGGGGCGTCCCATGAAATCCACACACATTTAACGACGCTTCGCTGGTAGTTACATCCAGCAGCATCATCATCATCAGGTTAACGCGTCGTAGGTTTTAGCGACCAAAGGCTTGATAATTGTTTTTTATCCCTTTTATCTGGCAACAAAACTGACACCTTTTTTTACAAGGAGTCATGTTTGCATAGACCACAATACCTGCAGTCATAATGCAAACAAAAACACAACTCTGATAATGTATGCACTGTCCTTGAAGTTGATTGGTCCACACCCGAGACAGCTTTCCTTAGAGCCTAGTGCGCCTTTTGGCGTCATCTGGTCCAACACCATGTGAGACTAGGCTCTAAGGAAAGCTGTCTCGGGTGTGGACCAATCAACTTCAAGGACAGTGCATACATTATCAGAGTTGTGTTTTTGTTTGCATTATGACTGCAGGTATTGTGGTCTATGCAAACATGGCTCCTTGTAAAAAAAAGTGTCAGTTTTGTTGCCAGAATAAAGGGTAAAAAAACAATTATCATATTTTTTACTGGCAAATGAGGTTCCAATGGGACCAAAGGCTAGTTTTGGGTTTGATAGCGTAAATATTAATGCGTCGTTAATCCGCCACTAGCTGACACAGCCGAATTAGTCAGGTTTGTCACGTAAACAAAAAGTGACAATTATTTACTAATTCAGCACACCGGGTGTGTGCATGTGAGAATAACCTCACAAAATTTACAATGTTGATTACGACGTTTCGCTGCTGATTACAACCATCATCATCATCAGGCAGCTGCCAGAAATTGTGAAAATGTCCTCCAGTTCTTGGGCCTTAAATGTCCCATTTGGCATGCGACTCGACGGTGAACTTTAGTTTGCCGGTCCCGTATTTATTTTGTTCACCCCGAGTTGGGCCGTGAATTTGGGTTTGCAGCCCCCTGAATTCTTTAGGCCACGTCACTTCGCTTAAACAAATGTAGGGCTGGCCAAATTTTTACACAGTTACAATTCAGGCCAAGCAGAAATCTATCAACAGACATTTTTCAATCAAAACATTTTCATGCAGTGTTGGAATATTATTGTTGTATGTTTTCCTTTTATTTTTTTGTCAGAAACGCAGTCTTTACCTTTGACTCACAAGTGTTTCTTAAAGAGGGGCTGCCCAGCTCACGTGATCATTCGAGTAACATGGAAAATGATGGAAATATCACTTTTACCGTGTTGCCAAATTCAAGTTGTTTTTCAACTCAAGTTCTGAGAGGAAACGAGTTATATACCAGTGTACGATCGTAACTGAATGAGCGACTTATCTAAAATCTCATGATTAAAACAAAAACTAAAAAAATCTACATATTCGTCAATAACATTGTGGCCTTAAAAAGGCGACGTTTCGTGCATTGGCCCTTATTCACACCACCGAAAAGCCAGAGAAATAGAGGCCTCTCTGTGCTGAAGGGTCATTAGCCGAAACGTCGCCGGAGGTTTGTGTGGGAGAAAGGAGGATATTCTGATACAATTTTTTTTACATCCGCGGAAGTCCCTCCCTCTGATACACAAAGTGAAATTGCCATGGACGTTTATGAACGTTGGAACAATGAGTGAATACATCATCATTGTCGGCGTCATACTTATCATTGTCATCATTAGATCTCGCAAGCTAAGCAAGAGATCGAGCCTGGCTAGTGCTCGGATGGGCGACCCGGCTGGCTGGCTGTATCGCGCTCTCCCCAACTTCTGTCACGGCGTTTCCCGTTCCCAATCGTGCAGTGGGCCCTCATTGTGACCGCGAGGGTGCACATCGCCATCCGCTTCACCGCGGCAGCCGGCAAAGATCCGCCGACGTGACCCAGCGCCAGGGTGGACACGTTTGAACCAAAGTTTGAAACATCACACCACAACGCGACGGACTCAATTGGGATTCTACCCGCAGCGGCAATCGTCGCCCCCTATCGACAGATGGAGAGCTCTTGATTCCGTGGGTGGTGGTGCACCAGTTACAACGCCCCCCGTCTCCCCACCCCTCTAGAGGAGTCACTTGACTCCTCTCACCTGATTCTAGATTTGAAGCTTTCGTGACTGCAAGGATTCATACTCTTAGGTTTTTTCGGTAAAGTCATGTAGGTAAAAAATTTAATTAAATTTTACTTTTATTAATTTTAATGTAATTTTTTACCTACGTGACTTTACCGAAAAAACCTAAGAGTATGAGTATCCTCTCATCTGGTTGTGCAAAAAATCAACTTGAAGTTGTCCGCTGCATACACGAGGCTGTTGAAGGCTGACATGGGACGACGTTGTGGACGGATAGAGGGTACTGCAGTGGAATCCATGGTTGTACTGTACCATGTTCCAATATATATTCTCCCCCCCCCCTGCCGCCGCCACCCCTTCCGTATGTATGTTGGACTTCTTTTACACCGTGCTAATCGGAGGTGCGGGGGTAAGGACAACAAACCAAATACAAAAGCAGTTCTCAAGAATGTATTTTTTTCCAATCTCAATTTAAAAGTGCAAAGCTCGAAGTAGCTTCCTAATGTCGGTGGGGAGAGCGTTCCAGACGGCCGCAGAAAACGCATCGGAAAGCGCGCGATGCGGTGCCGTCTTTGTTCGATGGCTCAGCCGAAAGCCGCTGCCGCTGCAAAAATGCCCGAAGTTCGCGTGATGGTTGATGCCTTTTGACGAGATCAGCGTCACGGTCTCGTGGTTCGCTAAACTCGATCTCTACCCCCCCCCCCGGCCCCTCCCCTCCCCCTCCACTGCCACCTTCAACCCACAGGCGCCACGTGTCTCAGCAGTGGAGGGAGCAGCTCGCAAATTCTTACCACAGTGGGGTTGACCTGGTGAGATACGAAACTAACCCATAGTTTAGCTTTATTTGTGTATGTTTTTAAGTGATTTGTTTACCTTTCCAATACGTTGCACTGCGACCGTGTCTTTGTTTTGTTGTATTGTTTTATGTGCGTTCTGACCCCGTGCCCCGAGTGGACATCTGTGTTAAAGAGCTTTGCAGCTTATGGGATTCCTCCGGTATAAATAAAGATTCTGATTCTACAATCGCGAGTTCAAATCCTGGTTGGGGGCTTGACTTTGCCCATGACGAATGAGGAATTTCCACCAATGACCCGGTCACTCTGGACTGTAACCAGGAGGCGAAATTTATCGTCATACGTGCCTGTAACGCTCGTTTTGAAGCATAAATGAAGCGAAGCGCACGTTTACATTTTAAACTATATCCTGTATCTGTACCGCACGTGTGAACGCGCGCGAGGCTGCTGCGTGCATGGTGGCGCGGGGTGGGGGTGGTGCGATTGTGATGTGCCTAACAGCCCACCAGCGTGCGCGCGTGTAGGCAACATCCCATTGCCTTCACGGCTAAAAGTCCGCGAGGTGGTGGGGAGGTCTGGTGTGTGCGGGCCGGGGGTGAGAAAGATTCATGCAACCACAGCCGCCCAGGGGTTCTGGTGGAACCCCGGAGTTCATAAATGCCACGTGCCCCCAACCTCCTCCATTTACTCAACAGTGGCAAGGAAACATGCCCTTCGTGGGTCACCTCGTTTTCGTGATGCTCGAGGCAAATTGCCCCCAGCCCCCTCTCCGCCGCCCCGAAACCCCCGTACTCGAAGCCGCCTCGGGTGCAACAGGAGAAGGGGGCAGATATGCTGGGATTGGTATGGGGAGGAGGGAGGGACGGGCGGATGACGGAGGGAGGGAGCGTTGGAGAGAGGGGAGGGAGGGAGGCGAGAAAGAGGGAGGCCACTCTAACACGTCACCACGACCACCCCCAACAGCTGTTGCGGGCTTGAGAAGTCGGATAAAAACTCCGGCGGAGGGAGACGGGGACGCGCACACAGACCCAGATCACAACCCTCCACTGTTCCTTGTAGCAGCAGCAGCAGCGACCCGCAGATTAGAAACAAGCGCCTTACACAGCAAATACAACAGCAACCACACACACACTCGCGCGTCTATTTCATATCAACACCCACTCGTATACAGACTCAATCATACACACACACACGGCAGCGCTAAAGTTACACATCAATAAGTTATGCGAGTTGCATGATGCGACGTCGCGTGTACGGTTAGAACAGCGGCGGGAGTCATTGCCGCAATTTTGGGTGTTTGGGAAGAGCGTCGCGAGTGATTTGGGAGCGCGGATTTGACACCGGGGCGAGTGGAGAGAATATTAGAGAAGGGGGGGTGGGGGGGGGGGGTTCCGTTCCAGTGTTGCAACGGAGGTGTTGAGCACCTGGCTGCCCCACTGCGCCCCCTGACTGCCCCCTGGCTGCCCCCCCTCCCTGGCTACCGGCCAAGACCCGGGGGCATTTGAATGGAATGTGGATGATGGTCCCAGACCTCAGAGCCCCGCAAGGCAATCCAGCAGAGGTAAGTGTGAGCAACTTTCTTCGCGCGCGTAAATTATAAAAGTGGATGCGAGTTAAAATCGTGCCTTGGCTATATACATGCTCGGACGGGAAGCGGTGCAGGCGCTCAGCTTTGTCAGTTGTCCTGCCATGACGAAGGACCATTGGTCCGAAACGTCGCCTATTATCTAGGTATGTTATTTTCCCCTTCAATGCAGCGTTCTTGTCGAATGCATTATCCAAAGTAATACGCGCTTGGCTAAGTGTGTGTGGATGAAAAGGGCTGTTTGCGAGTGTCAATGCATCAGCATCAGCCATGATCAACCCACTGCTCGATGCAAACCTCTCTCAAACCATCACCATCTCTCACATCCTGCGATTTAAGACTCCGCACAGCACAACAGGAGCGGAATTCACCGCTCCATCTCCTTGATGCACGCCCTCTCTCTCTCTCTCGGGCGTGTTCCCTCTCTTAACTGCTACTCCGACGTTATTCCTAATCAAGGATACTGGTGGAAATTCCACCTTTTCATGGCGAGGTTCTGTCTATACGTTAACGATGGTGAGCGGCTGTTGACCTGCCACAAAGCGGTGCATATTTGATCGATCTCGGAGGGTTGATGCGGTGAGTTGACCGTCCTACTTGAATTTGATCTCACGATAGTTTGCGAGGTAGTTTGAGCATTGTCAAGTGCTACCACCGAAATTTGCAAAGATGTGAGTTCAAATCCTGGCCGGCTGGTCGATTCATCCCTTAGTTCAACTGGGTCGATAAATTAAGTACCACTTTCTGGAGAGGTCAAGGGGACGTTTAGTGGGTCCCGTCATGAGCATGCAGGCATTTCACAACTAGCTCTTGGCTCTAAAATGTCATAATATGTATTCCATTTGTAAATCCACTGCTGGATGAAGGCCTCTCCAGGCTGAGTGGGTTATGGGGGTAGTTTTACCATACTTCACCACGCTGGGCATTGGCGGTTGTTGCAAGGGGAGGCTCACGACCGTTTTTTTTTGTTATCGTTCGCCACTGATGTTATCTGTGGCCGTCAATATAACTTGAGTAGCAAGGTCCATAGCGTAGTGCGCTAACCACTGCGCCACCGCTCCCCCCACCACACACGCGCACTTCTGGTCACGCGATGCACACAGACATCACTCACCACACATTGCCACCACGGCATATCACGCACGCCTTACACACGCGCCCCCAGGCTGATATTCGTACACGCGCACACGCATGGCGCGTACAGCCTCCAGGGTGTATAGGGTACTTTCAGCAAGAGCAGCAGCACTGACATACGCACACACACATATCACACGCTCGCTGACACCACGGCAAAGATCACCCGTCTAGCCTCCACGGGCTGTTGGGGCGAGTGCTGTTAGCGAGCACCTTTGAAGGCCGACACGGCACACGAGAAGGTGGGTGGTTGGCACCACACCTAGCCGCCTTTGTCTCCCCAGTGGTGATATATACACACCACATCAGGTACACATTTGAGGCTGAGTTGACCTCGGGGAGGCCCAGGACCGGGTCAGTTAATCGTCACTGGTGTTGGCCACTGACACACACGCACATATCACAGCCACACACACGCGCACGAACCAGACATCCATCAGCTGCCACACATCCATCAGCTGCCCCGAGGCCAATAGTATCCATACTTTAAACTCAACCTTTTTCTAGCATCTCCTTCAGGGTATAAACATCAGCATTGGGAAGACAAAGGCGGACGGGCGGTCGTGATTTTAACCTCACCGCATTCTCGTGCATTGTTCCGAGCTTCATAAGTGCTCGCGAACAGCACTTGCAACCTGTCGCCTGTTAAAGGCTACACGGGCATGTTTGTCTTTGGCGTTGCTGCTTGCGTGTGTAGGCGCGTGTTTGCACTCGGGGAGCGGTGGCGCAGTGGTTGGCGCGCTGCGCTACGAACCCAGCGACCCGAGTTCGCTTGCCGTTTCACGACCACCAACACCGGCGACGATTATCGGAACCGGTCCTGTGCCTCTCCTCGGTTGACCCAGTCCCAAATGAGGCACCGGCGATAGAAAGGCGTCCGGGGCGTAGTGCCGGCCACCCACCTCAATAGGTGCTCCCTAACAGCGCATGCCCCGACAGTCGGTTAAGGCTGTACAGGGGGGGGGGGGGGGGGTCTTTGTCCGTATGCACGTGCATGCATGTACGGGTCCGTATGTGATTCCCGTGCGTGTACACGAGTGTCTGTACGAGTCGTAATGATTCACACGCCCGCATTCCAGGGCGATTGTGTGCGCAGCGGTGGCTTAGAAGCCACGCGCAGGTCCGCGCATCCGGATTGCGAATGAGTGAAGTTGACACTGGAGCCCTAAGAGTGCCCACGTCACAGGCAACCGACGCACGTGCACGTCAAGTGGGGGGCTGTGGCGGGGGGGGGGGCAAGACGAGGGAGGAGCGGGGGGGGGGCTATGAGTTTGAGGTTCTGAAAGAAAAGCTCACGCGCGATGCTCATTGGTTTCACCTACAGACGAGAACGTAAGGGAGGGTCAAAAGTAAGGTGAGGACATTTGTTGTCATTCTCAGGCACCTCCGATTAGCAAGCTTGGCTACGTACGGTGCGAAAGAAGCTCAACGTGCACGCATTCACTTGCCGCAAGCCAACCCTGTGCGTGTAACTGTGTGCGACCCGAGTTCGATTCTCGCCCGCGACGAATAGCGCTGGCGATTATTTGAACCGGTCCTGGGCCTCTCTCCTGGCTCCTGGCCCGACACAGCCTCAGATCGCTACCTGGACAGCCTCAAATCTCTACCTGGCGTGGTTGTGTCAACGTCAGCACTGGTCGAGCAATGCGTGAGCCACACCGCTCCCACCTCCTTGGGTCCTCGCGAACGGCACTCGCCCCGGTCGTCTGTTCGAGCCTAATCGGGGGTTACCCGTGTCGTTGTGCACACGTGTGTGAGATTGTGAGTGTATACGTGTGTACACATGTGTGCGAGCGTGTGTGTGTGTGTACGTGTGTACACATGTATGCGAGCGTGTGTGTGTGTGTGTACGTGTGTGTGCGCGCGTGTACGTGTGTGTGTGTACGTGTGTGTACGTGTGTGTGTACGTGTGTGTGTGTACGTGTGTGTGTACGTGTGTGTGTACGTGTGTGCGTGTACGTGTGTGTGTACGTGTGTTTGTGTGTGTGTACGTGTGTTTGTGTGTGTGTGCGCGTGTACGTGTGTGTGTGTACGTGTGTGTGGGGAGCGGTGGTGTAGCGGTTAGCGCGCTGCGCTATGAACCTGGCGACCCGGGTTCGATTCCCGCTCACGGCTAACACCAGTGACGATTATCTGAACCGGTCCTGGGCCTCCCCTAGGTCAACTCAGCCTTAATGAGTACCTGGTGCGGTGTGTAAACATCGCCACTGGGGAGACAAAGGCGGTCGGGCGTGGTGCTGGCCACCCACCCCCTCGTGTACCGTTCCGGCCTTCATAGGTGCTCGCTAACAGCACTTGCCCCTACAGTCTGTTAAGGCTATACGGGGGATCTTTGTCTTTGTCTTTGTGTACGTGTGTGTACGTGTGTGTGTATACGTGTGGTGTACGTGTGTGCGTGTACGTGTGTGTGTGTACGTGTGTGTGTGCGTGTAAGTGTGTGTGTACGTGTGTGTGCGTGTACGTGTGTGTGTGTGTACGTGTGTGTACGTGTGTGTGTGTGTGCGTGTCCACTCCGTGTTGCGTCAGAAAGCCTCCTGGCGCCCGAGTCAGCTGTCGGCTGCCCTCGCAATCCGCGTTAACAAAGAGGCTTCTCTTCTTCATTTCCACAAATTCCTGAAGCGCCTCCCCCCGCCCCTCCGGGCTCCCTCTGTCTTCCCCCAATGCCCCCCAATCCCTCCAACTACCCCCCCTTCCTCTGTCCCCCCCCCCGCCAACCCTCAAGTTTGACCAAACCAGCAGCACCTGTCCCACACACCCTTTCACTCATCCACAGTTCGCTTCGTCCTTCACATTCTGAGTGAGTGGCGGTGGTGGTAGCGAGCGAGTGTACAGGCGGTGCAACTGCAGCGGGAGGCCGACGGGGCGGCTCTTGGGTAGGGGTGGAGTGGGGGGGGGGGTGGGGGGGGGGGGTCATTCGTGCTTAGTTGCTCCTGTTTTCTCCCACGTGCATGAAACGCTCATCGTAGATTGGCTGGGGAAATATGTTTATCAAATGAAAAAAAAAAGTCGTACGACTCGCTAATGGATCTTCTGCGTGGATCAATGAATCCCGCAGGTGAATGTCGAGGCTGAGGCCGAGACGCAGCACGTGGCCGACGCGCGGGCGCCTGTGACGCGCGCATTTGATCCGAGCGGTGGCGGTCGCCTCTGGTGGACGCGATATCTCGTTGTGCATCGCTGGCGCCCTTTAACTCGAGCAAATGAAGGCGACGAGCGAGCCAGGGTCGGGTGACTCGAGCAGATTTGAGGCACGCGTCCAGGGTGTGTGTCCGTGTGTGCGGATGTGTGCTGGCGCAACCATGTGGCGTGCGTGTGCACGCGTGTGTGTGTGTGATGGAGATAAAGTGGGGAGCGGTAGTGTAGCGGTAAGCGCTCTGCGATACAAGCCTGACGACCCGAGTTTGATGATTCCCGCTCACGGCCAACACCAGTGACGATTGTCTGGTCGTGGGCATCCCCTAGGTCGACTCAGCCTCAAATGAGTACCTGGTGCGGTGTGTAAACATCGCCACTAGGGAGACCAAGGCGGCCGGGCGTGGTGTTGGCCAACCACCCCCTCGTGTGCCGTGCCAGCCTTCATACGTGCTCGCTAACAGCACTTGCCCCTACAGTCTGTTAAGGCTTTACGGGGGATCTTTGTGTTTTGATAAGAGAGAAAGAGGGAGAGGCAGTTGACGCGTTGTGAATGAGAGATGATGGGGTTGGTGTTTTGTGAATGTGACGAATACGATATGAATCGGTCCTGGGCCTTCCCTAGGTCGACTCAACCTCAAATGAGTACCTGGTGCGGTGTGTAAACATCGCCACTAGGGAGACAAAGGCGGCCGGGCGTGGCGTTGGCCACCCACCACCTCGTGTGCCGTGCTGGCCTTTATAGGTGCTCGCTAACAGCACTTGCCCCTATAGCCTGTTAAGGTTATAGGGGGGATCTCTGTCTTTGTATGTGTGTGTGTGTGAATGAGAGATAGCTTGTGTGTGGACGCGTATGTGGGTGTGTGTTTGCTACATACAATCGGTGTTTTCGTGCGTGTGCGTTTCAAGTTCACGCCTATATTGCTTAACCAGGGGCTAACTCACGAGACCAGGATAAGTCGTATTTTTAAGAGTGACCATGGGTAGCAAGATGACAAATACAAAACAAATACAATGAAGTTACAGCAGCAAGCAAGGGTCGGCGTGTGACATCGTCTCTTCACTGGCATCGAAACCTCGCGTTTCCCTCCTCTAGGTCGACTCAGCGTAAAATTAGTAGACCTCCCGGTACTGCAGATACGTGCGACCGTGAGTGCGGTTGGCTACGTACGATGCGAGAGAAGTTCAGCATACACACACACACGTGTTGAGACCACCACCACCACCTCCCCTGTTTGTGCATTAATAGGTGCTCGCTCACAGCACTTGCCACATCTGTTATATGCTGTCTTTCTCAATGTGTTTGCTAACGTGTGTGTTGTGTTGTGTCTTTGTGTCTTACAGGACGTTGCCACCGCGCCCTGAAGACGACACTAAGAATTGAGCTCCTTGTTTCTTCATTCTCTGGGTTCCAGCTCGATTTGACGCAGTCCGAGCTGCCTCCCTTCGCGGGAACACCCTCGACCGATCCCCGACCCGGGCACGCACAAGGAACACGTTCCACGCGAACTCCTCTTCACGTCCAGAGAGCAGTCCAGGGAAGGGACTCGGTGCATAGGACTCGGACAAAGGACTCTGTCCAGAGTCCTTCGTCTGTCAAGTCTCCCGCTGTCTCCCTGCAGCCCCCAGAGAGTCCACTAGTTTATGTTGGAGGTCGAGTAGCATTTATATAGTAATTTTTTTTTTTTATATTAAGCAGTTTCTTGGCCGACTGTCAACTCATGTTGATGACCACTATGAGCAGCTCAGTCGCCACGAACCCCCGCGAGCTGGCAATGAGAAACCCGCCCACGGAGCCCCTCATCGGCGCGCGCCACAACAACAACAACATCAACAACATCAACAACATCGCCGTCGACGCCCCGCCGACCCCAGGCGGCACAACGCTGACGACGGTCTTGACCTCGAGCCTCAACGCCTCCAACGGCACGCCGGGCCAGCGCCCACCGCCGTCGATGACCAGGAGCCCGCGGCGTCGCAGTCGCCCGCGCTTCGTCAACAAGGACGGCCGTTGCAACGTGCAGGTGACCGGCATGGACGACCACTGGCCGAAGTACCTCGCCGACCTCTTCACGACGTGCGTGGACGCTCGCTGGCGCGCGGCCTTCGCCGTCTTCGTCGTCGCCTTCCTACTCTCGTGGCTCCTCTTTGCGCTCGTCTTCTGGCTGGCCGCGTGGTGGCACGGGGACACGGCTGCGCGGGGCCCCAGGGCGGCCGCGTCGGCGTCATCGGCGTCGGCGCCGGCGCCGCGCCCGCCCTGCGTCACCAACGTCAACGGCTTCGTGTCGGCATTCCTCTTCTCGGTCGAGACGCAGACGACGATCGGCTATGGCTTCCGCTGCGTCACCGAGGAGTGCGCCGTCGCCATCGTCGCCGTGGTCGCTCAGTCGATCGTCGGCTGCCTCGTCGACTGCTTCACCATCGGCGTGATCATGGCCAAGATGGCCCGGCCCAAGAAGCGCGCGCGGACGCTGCGCTTCAGCGACAAGGCGGTGGTGAACGAGCGGGGCGGCAGGCGCTACCTCGAGTGGCGCGTGGGCAACCTGCGCAGGAGCCACATCGTGGAGGCGCACGTGCGCGCGCAGCTCATCAGGACCAAGTCGGCGGAGCGCAACTACGTGGTGATGAGGCAGGACGACGTGAACGTCGGCTTCGACAAGGGCCTCGACAGAATATTCCTCGTGTCGCCCTACACCGTGGTGCACGAAATCGACGAGGAGAGCCCCCTGTACGACATGAGTAGGGGCAGCCTCGAGGGGGGAAGCGCCGGCGGCGACAACTTAGACGACGACGACTACGACGACGTGGAGATCGTGGTCATTCTGGAGGGCATGGTGGAGGCCACGGCGATGACGACGCAGGCGCGCAGCTCCTACCTGGCGAGCGAAATCCTGTGGGGCCACGAGTTTCGACCGGTGCTGCGCCAAGAGGGCGATCACTACCGAGTCGACTACGGCCAGTTCGACGCCACGAGTGCGATGGAGGTGCCGATGTCGCCGTGCAGCGCGCGGGAGCTGGACGAGAAGCGGCTGTCGGCGACGGGCGACCGCGGGAGCGCGGCGAGCGTCGCCAGGGACAGCGTGCGGAGCATCGACGAAACGACGCCGTTGGTGGAGGGGGTGGCGCCGCATGGCGGGGCGGAGGAGGGGAGCGCGATTCGAGGAATCTCGACGACGACGACGAGAAGGACGCTAGAACCCGCGGTGTAGGTTCGGGGAGTCGCGTTGTCGCACTGAGCGAGATTTCGAGGTCGCTGCGGGGGACAGCGGACGCTGTATCCTAAAAAAACGAGACGGCGAACAATTTGCCGAGCCGCTGGCTGAGTTGCAAGGATGCGATGGGTGGAGGTGGGCTGAGGGTGGGGTGGGCTTGGGGGGTTGGTGGGAAGGTGGTTGCCAATCGGCAGAAACACGAAAAAAAAAACTAGACACAGGCAGCTACGGTCATTAACGCTTCTGAGCACTTTGGAGATAGAGGGGGGGGAGCTCCCAGTATCAGACTGCGTGGAGATGGCCCACAACGGTTTCAGTTCCGGTCTGAAAAGCGCCAAAAAAAAAAACTCACGGACATTCATCAAATATAGGGAGAGAGGAAGGGAGAGAGGAAGGGCGATAGAGAGAGAGAGAGACGCAGGAAGCGGTTTCAGGCTCTCTGTCTTGCGCCGTGCCCCAGCAGCTCCCACGGCCTCGTGCCGAGAGCCCCCGCCTGCAGAACGCGGAGCTCACAGTCAGAAGCACGTGTCGCCAACGAGGCACTTAGCACTCGAGTAAGGGACATTATAAACATCTAAGAGAGAGAGAGATAAAACAAACACAAGTGTTAAAATCACGATTCAACAGTTGGTAGATGTTTGCTCTTTGTACCGCTAAATGTTAAGGGTTGAATATTTGTAAATAGGAGACAATTTTAAGCGACTGCGTCGCCAGTGGACAGTAGGCATTGCTAAGAACAACATCACGTTGGTGATTAACAATTTTTTATAATGAAACAAAAAATATACATAGCAGGTGGATGTTTCGGGGCAATAGCCCTTCTCTTGTCTGAAGAAGAGACATTGACCGAAACGTCTGCGCTAAGACGTCAGCCTATTCTTACATATTATAATACCTCTAGCAAGGCACGAGAAAGAATGCAGCAACCGACAATGTGTTTAAGAGGCAATTTAAATGTAACTCAAAGGTAGTTCTGCGATAACCTCTTCCGCAGGGTCATTCTCTCGTACGGGATGACGCGGGTGCTCTTGTGAGAGCCCCGAGTGAATGGAGTCTTCATCTCACGATGTAACACCCCTAGCACGATTGGAATAACATCAGAGGATAGATACAAATCTGCCCGGTCAGTCCAGCCCATCGCTATCGGAAATCCTGAACCAGAGGTGGACAATCCACATTAATCGGGCACGGGCCCATTGACCCTATAGAACGACTTCTGTTAACCTCTAACAATGCGGTACTTTATTTATCAACCCTGGGAGGGGAGGAGATGATAGGTTGAGTGGAGCCCCAAATAAAATATGAACTTACAACCTTCCTCTCTCACCACATCCAGCCTGATTCCCACGATTATTCTGCACTCGTAGATCTCGGAAGCCAAGCTAAGCAGGATTGAGCCTGGAAAGTGCTTGAATGGGCAACCACTATGCATGCGTGAAGCAGGTGCTACAGGCTGCTACGGAAAGACGTCGTGTTGTGAAACTGTGCTATGCTCTACACCTTCACTGGCACGGACACACCAGCGTGGTGAAGCATGGTCAAAACAATCCCCACGAACCCATACCGCGTGGAAGAGACTCCCGTCCATCCAGCAGTGGATATGGTAAAGTGATTGTACATGCACAAATATAAACACTTGAATTATTGCGCACATTTACTTTGGCTTTTCGGAAGCAGTGATGGTAATTCCAGATCGCTATGGCAGGGAGCAGTCAATCTACAAGAAAACAACTGATAATATAGTTTTTTGTTAGATCGCGTAAATATAGAAATGTGTCTCGATTTAAAGCTTTCGTGACTGCAGGGATTCATCTTCTTGGTTCTTTCGGTAAAGTCACAGTGACTTTACCGAAAGAAACAAGAAGATATAAATGTGTCGTTAAAGCCGCCACTACCAGACATAGCCAAATAGTAAGGGTTGTCACCTTAACAATTGTAAATGTTGTGGCTTGGCTCTCCAACACACCGCTGTGCTGTAATAGTAACTAATTGGCATGTTCTGTTTACGTGACAACCCTTACTACTTTGCTGTATCGGGTGGTGGCGGGGTTAACGACACATTTATACATTTATGCGATCTAACCCCAAATAAACCTGTATTACGGATGCTATTGGTCGCGAAAGCCTACGTGTTCGTAATGAAGGTTTTTCTTCTTCTGGCAAATCGCCCGATGATGCTGGATGTAATTACCAGCGAAACGTCGTCCTACTCAAATTGTAAATGTTGTGGATTTACTCTTCAACACACCGGTGGGCTGAAGCGGTAACGAATTGTCGCGTTTTTGTTCACGTGACAAACCTCACAGGCTGTGTCGGGTGGTGGGGGGGCTACGACACAACATTTATTCTTACACGATTTGACCCAAAACAACCTTTATTATGAATAATATTGGTCGCGAAAGCTGACGACGTGTTAAACAAACCCGCTGTTGACTTCCCACAAAGTCGTAGGGATTTGTTGACCCAGATAAAGATGATGGGCTGCGGTGCACATACGGCATTTTTTTTTATAAATGTAACATTACCGTATTGCCCAGATTAGAGACGCACCCCCCATCCACCTACCCCCCCCCCCCCATTTATTTCAAAGTAAAAGTTGGGGAGGTGCGTCTTATAATCCTGTAGCTGTGTGCGTGTGTGTGAAACACCAGGGTTGTGTGTAACTTGACCCATGCAGCGCACGCGTTTGGAGGTGCGTCTTGCTCTGCGGAGCGTCTTACAACTCGGAGAATGCGGCCGTGCACTGGAACGGAGCACAACGCGAGCGAATCGGGGCTAGAAAACGGTCGAGACACGTGTCAGTATCCACGAGAAGATGGGCCGTAGATGCACGAGATGAGATCACTTTGCAAAAGTGACGTACAGATTTTGAATTTTTTTTTTTACAATATTCGTATAAAATGCAAATGGCCGTACTATGCGAGACGGCTATGGGTTATTATATTTATAAATAAGTAGGTAATTTAATATGCATTGGTTTAAAATGGCTTACGAGGATGTTACACGTGCAGTCCCACAATCTCGTTGCACCTGCGCAGAGCGCGTGTGGCAGAAGGTGGTCAGGCTGACGGGTGCACACGTGTGCACACCTACACACGTGTGCAGGTGTGCGCACGTGTGCACACCTACACACGTGTGCAGGTGTGCGCACGTGTGCGGCACACGACGACAAAGATCCCCACGTGTCGCCATTGATAGGCTGTTGCGGCAAGTGCTGTAAGGGAGCGGCACCGTGCCACGCACACACACGCGTGCTTACAAACGCACATAGACACGTGCAGAGACAAATGGACGGACATACAGCACATTGTATATACGTAGACATAAGAACATCGACACGTGCAGAGACAAATGGACACACACACCACATTGTATATAAGCAGACGTAAGAACACACTCGCACGCACGGACACACACATATACACGCACAGACAAAGATCCCCCGTATAGCCTTCAACAGACTTTAGGGGCAAGTGCCGTTAACGAGCACCTACGAAGGCCGGCACGGCACACGGCAAGGGTGGGTGGCCAGCACCACGCCCGGCCGCCTTTGTCTCCCCACTGCCGATCTTTACACAGCGAACACCGGTACTCGTTTAGGCTGAGTCGATCTAGGGGAGGCCCCGGGGGTGACAAGAGGGGAGGTGAAGGAGCAGCACGAATGGTGGTCGCGGCGCGACCTTGCGAGACGTGACATGGTGTTGTTTGCTCAGGTGTGTTTGTGTAGGCTCCTCCATGCACTCTCTCTCTCTCTCCCTCTTCCTCTCAAATGTACACACGCGCATGCACTGATACACCCTCATGGTGCCCTCTCTCACACGGACAAACACTCTCACGACGGCGGACGACTTCCCCACCGATGTAGATTGTCGTGGGACGACTGCTGTTAGCGAGCACCGATTGAAAGCGACGCGGCTCACGAGATGGGGGTGGTTGGTGTGGTCGATTTCACGCCCGGGCCGCCTTTGTCTCCCCAATGTTGATGTTTACACACCGCACCAGGTACTCGTTATTCATGGCCGGGTCGACTGGTAGTAGGAGGCCCAGATCAAAGGTGTTCAGATGCCACGCGCTACGAATGTCTATCCGTGGCCTGGAATTGAACACATATACCACAAAAACAAAGACAAAGATCGCCCGTATAGCCTTAACACACTGTTGGGGAAAGTACTGTAAGCGAGCACCTACGAAGGCCATCACGGCACACGAGGGGGTGGGTGGCCAGCACGACGGCCCGGCCGCCTTTGCCTCCAGCGCGTGGCGATGTTTACGCATCGCACCAGGTACTCATTTGAGTCTGAGTCGACCTAGGGGAGGGCCCAGGACCGGTTCAGACGATCGCCACTAGTGTTGGCCGCGTGCGGGAATCGAACCTGGATGGCCGGGCGGGTTCGGAGCGCAGCGTCGTGCTAAACCGCTCGCGACGCGCACACACACACACAAGTAAAGCGACGCACACACACACACAAGTAAAGCGACGCATCGACACCCTCACACTCCAGTCACTACGATTTACTTGATGCGAGACAACGTCCCTCGGATAGCCGGAGGGATGAGTTTTGCACATCGTGCGCGGAACCCCACGTGCCAAGTGTACATTGTGACGACGACGACTCGTGAGAATCACGATCGTCGTCCCTCGGCGAGAGCGATCGTCATCCCCCACTCGCTTCTTCTGCCCGGAGTTTTAAAACTCACCCACGTGTGCACCGTGCACACAATCAAATCCCTCTCCCACGTGAATGTATTTATACGCTTGTATATATTCTGTACAGATGCTGTTCGCTCGCAGACTCTTTGTTACGAACGCCGTCCTTATACCTCGTTGGGGTTATTTATATTCTAGTCGGGGCATCAGCGGGGGTTAATATTTGTATGTCGGTTATAGCGGTTGTCAGTCAAATGTCTGCAACGACGTCTCTTGTACATTGCAATGTCCGTCAATAATTGTTGTACATCTCGATGTCCATCGATGTCCAATATGGTGGCTCTTGTACAGCGAAGTGTCTATTAAAGGCAGCGTCAAACGCGTTGTGTCTCGTTGTAGTTTCTGTGTTCAACTTGGCTAACCCATAGCCCGCTCTCTATCTGCTGTCTATAAGCACTCTCTCTGATGATGCTGATGATGACGCACTCACACCGAACCACTGAAACTAAGTAGTTCCTGATTATGGATATTCACCTGCGTTGCTTCAAGCAAGCCTGGCTCTTCTCACGAGACGCTGTAAGTCGAAACAGGTCCAGGATTTTGCTTGCGTCGATTAAATGCCGCAAAAATTATGCACTCCAACAAGCCAGCGTGGCTGATGGGAATTGGAAATAAAATATATTTTTTAAGTGGAGGGGCAGATATATGAAGGAGTCGTAGTGTCTGTTGATGTGTTATGCTAAATATATGTTAATGATGATATCACTTTGTAGATTACGATCAAATGATTTTGTTCTCTCGATGATGGTGAAAATTATCATATCGCTCAGTAAAATGACGATGATGTCACTCTCTAGATAATGATGATTACTTTGTTGATGATGATCATGAGAATCATAATTTACTTATTTATGCAGGGAAATCACAATGAGTCGTACGACTCTTTTGTAGGAGGGTCCTTCATTGGGTTTATTTTTTATTTGAAGATGTTTTCAGTCAATGAATGATGAGTCTTTATACAAGTTGTATAAAACCCGCGTGCGCGAGGGAGCAACGCTTTATCCCCGTACAGATGTGAATAGAGGGCGTTGAGTCCACTTGGTGTACTGCCTTCTGCTGGCACGCCGGGATATGGCACCTCGACGCTCACGGGAAAGGAGTTTCACAACATTCGGGCGATCCACCAACGCTCGCCTCCACGATTGTAAGATCCCGATAGATATGCGATTCTGATGATACTAAGCACTCTGTAATATGATGATCACTCGGGAGGACGATGGCGTCACTCTACAAGTGATGATGATGATGTTTACAGCACTCTCTAGATTATAATGATAAAGACGACGCGCTCTGTATTGGTGGGGATGATGCTTGTGATGCAGCTGTTGATGCTCCTGCTGCTGCTGATGATGATGGTGATGATGATGAACATCATCATGGCCTTTCGAAGCAAGCCGGCTGTTCGTGGCACCCACTCGATGGGATGCGTAAAAAGCTACCGCCGTTGAAACCCGCGGCTCGCTCTCGTTCTGTCTCTCTCTCTCTCTGCCTCGCAGCACGGATTGTGTTTGCCATCGCGTGCCGCAAGCGCAGATCTTTTTCACCCAGCCCCCTCCCCTCCCTCCCTCCCTCCCTCCCTCCCTTCCTCGTCTCCACCCCCCTCCCTCACTCACCTAGCCCCACACCCCCTCTCCCTCCCCGACTCTTCCCTCAAACTTCACCTGGCATGCAGGAGGTCGTGGGTTCAAGCTCGACCCTGACGCCTGTATACTTGGAGTTTTCGTGTCTCTCTCCCCGTGGTCGCGTTGATTTTTGTCTCTGGTATCCCCCAAATTTCCCCTCTGCATTCAGAATCAACAGCATGCGTTTGGAGTGTTTGGATGGTATATATTTCCGCATGACGATAAGCTACCTCGTTGAGCTGTCAGTTGTGAGAGCCACGTCGCTTCTGGAAAAGAGCCTTTGTAGCTCAGTGGGCCTTACCTGGTAAAATGAAAAAAATTCCATTTAAAACGTTTGTGACTGCAGGGATTCATCTGCTTGGTTCTTTCGGTAAAGTCACGTAGAAGGGAAGTAATAAAATAATAAAAATATTATGTTTTATTTAATAAAATAAAAATATTATGTTTTATTTTTATTATTTTATTACTTCCCTTCTACGTGACTTTACCGAAAGAACCAAGAAGAAGAAAAAAAATAGTTCATACTTTTATCATTGGCTGGTCATTGGCCTATAAATATCAACACAACCGCAGAAGCGTCATTCAAACTGAAAATCGCGACATTACTTTCACATCACTTTGTAATCGTACGTCATACATACGTATATTTAAAAATTTAATTGCTACTTTAGTGTCTTTGTGTAATTCCTTTACTGTTAAAATTTACTTAAAAGTTGTTCAACTGCAGTTCGCTCAACATAAGCTTGTTGCAATGATCAGTCTTATAACGTTTCGTCTCTCACTAATTATTCAGCTATTGATTATTCTGCGAATTCTTATTTTGATGATTATGCGAATGATCACTTTGTCCGTGATTATTCTGCTAGTAATTATTTTGCACATGCTTAGCCTTCTAACGATTGTAATATGAATTCGTCGAATGATTAGTCTTCGAATGAATGCTACGTAATAATTTCCGGAATCCATAACGCATGCAACAATTACATCACCAAACGAAATACGTTGCCTACAAAACAACGTTTTGCAATGCACTTAATTCAAATCGTCAATTGCCACTTATTACGTACACCTCAAATTAGTGCGCTTATTATTGAATTAAGGTTGTGGGTTTTTTGTTTGTTACACATATACATATCTAAATCTAAATCATCACAGACACGGCTCAGTCAGTCATCAAGTCGCCTTTGTAGCCAAACCGAGAGGTACACCGACCGAGTTTGTTTCCAGTGTGGACGGAGAAGTTGGAGGGGGTGCATGGGGTGATGGAGAGAGAGAGGACTTGCCACTTGTTCGTTTAGTGAATAGGAGTAGGAGAGAGGAGGGAGTGAGGGTGGGGGGTGCATGGGGTGATGGAGAGAGAGACGACTTGTCACTTGTTCGTTTAGTGAATAGGAGTAGGAGAGAGGACGGGAGTGAGGGTGGGGGGTGCATGTGGTGATGGAGAGAGAGAGGACTTGCCACTTGTTCGTTTAGTGAATAGGAGTAGGAGAGAGGAGGGAGTGGGGGTGCATGGGGTGATGGAGAGAGAGAGGACTTGCCACTTGTTCGTTTAGTGAATAGGAGTAGAAGAGAGGACGGGAGTGAGGGTGGGGGGTGCATGGGGTGATGGAGAGAGAGACGACTTGCCACTTGTTTGTTTAGTGAATAGGAATAGGAGAGAGGACGGGAGTGGGGGGTGCATGGGGTGATGGAGAGAGAGACGACTTGCCACTTGTTTGTTTAGTGAATAGGAATAGGAGAGAGAAGGGAATGAGGGGGGGTGCATGGGGTGATGGAGAGAGAGAGAGAGAGGACTTGCCACTTGTTCGTTTGGTGAATAGGAGTAGGAGAGAGGACGGGAGTGAGGGGGGGGGAGTGAGGGGAGAGGAGGTGGGTGGGTGGGGGAAGATGAAATATGGCTTCGTGCCGGGTATCCCCTTGGCCCGTCTTGGATGCCTCTTAGGAGGAGGCATTTAACAGAAATAGACGGGGGCGAGTGGCGCGGCCTACTGTCGTAAAGCACGCGCGCGTGTGTGCGTGTGTGTGTGCGCGTGTGCGTGTATCGATGTGTTCTGATGTTTACACGCTCAGGGTGGTCATCCTGGGGCTTGATAGACTGGAACACGGTGTGAGGAGCTCACAGGGCTTTGAAAGATCTGGACACAGTCCCCGTCATCGGCGAGCTCATACAGCAGGCAAAGGCTGCGTTGGCTGGGTCATGTAGCCCGACATTCCCAGCTTCTGTTTCGCCGGATAGAGACGCGGCACCGGCTAGAGAAGAGATGGGACGACGTGGTGCAGGATGTGAGGGCTGAGTGGACTGTCCGAAGACTGACGCGATCGGCCTCGACGGAGGAGGCTCCTGCAGGACTCAACTGGCCACCTTCATCTTATTCAGACTCTAATTAACGCAATTTTTGTTTAATTGGCACGCGCACTTCTGGCCACACCACTCCGTCGTGCGTCGTGTCGGCCTTAATAGGTGCTCGCTAACATAGCACGTGCACAAACACATTGTTTGCGTAGGCTACAGGAGGGAGCTTTGTCTTTGCGGAACGATAGGCAGGCTGTAACGTCGCGCTTTGCGCTACGCACCCGGCGACCGGAGTTGCGTTCCCGACCATGGCTTTTGCAATCACGGAACTGAGATCATAATTATCCTCGACTCTTCTCAACAATCACCGACAAATTTTAGTCTTGATTGACACGCGACGCACATCCGTGGCACGGGGCCGTATTCTTTGAGCAAGGCGAGGTGCAGGCAGCGGTGTCCTCATCCCAGAGCGAGCCAGGCCCTACTCCGGCTCAGCTTTTGAAACCCGACGAGAACGGGCCACGCATCTTGAACGATTTGCTCATAGGCAAGTCTGTCTGTGACTCTATTATCTAACCGCTCCCTCTGACCCCGCCCCCCACAACTATAAGCTCCCCCCCCCCCCCCCGCATCAACCCCATCCCCACCCGTCTTTTCCCTCTTGCCCCCCCCCCCCATAAACTGAACAATGATCCTACCGTGAGACCCCCACGTGGGTGGAAACGTGAGAACAGCGGCCACCCAACCGCAGCGTTTCGCGCATGCGATCCGAATCGGCTCGCCCCCGAATCGGGAGAGCGCGGTGGGGGTTATAGCCGTTTGCCGGATCTGGTTTCAGCCTTGGAAAAATAACATCTTGCTGGGGCGGGCTGGCAGCTCTTTTTCTCTCCCCACTCCCTCGCGGCCACCCTCTCGCTCTCCTCTCACGCTCTCTCTCTCTTTCTGTGCGTGGTTGGCACGGCCAGGGAGTGAATGATTCATGAGGAGCCGGGCAATGTCTGTTGATCCCCCCCCCCTCCTCCTCCCTCCCTTCTCCCCCCTTCACCGTGTGCTCGAGTCGTCCAAATGAGGAGTCGGTCTCGTTGCGTTTGTTCATCATTGGCAGAAGTAAAATATTGTCGTCATCAGCAGCAGCAGCAGCAGCAACAGAAAGCGAAACATCGTCGACAGAACTTGAAGCAGTATAATAATCATCATCATCAGCAGCAGCAGCATCAGCGACGACAGCTGGTCGTCAATATTATCAATAGCAGCGTAACCATTATTATTGCTATTGGCAGCAGACGAATCATCCATAGTTAAATTAATCTTGCTTTAGATCGCGTAAA